TATTGAAATCTTGATATCGTAAATACAAAACTATTGATTATAGTAAATTGGTCTCCTCTGCTGGTGGTCTTTTTCCCGAATTGGGATTTTACGTAAATTCTTGTGTTCTTATTTTTTTCTTCATTATCTTGTGATCCGTTTCATAATAGAGTAAAAATCTTGAAATAAAACTTGGGGACCTTCTATTATCATGAATATGTAATTTCTATTATTTCAAATCATCAAAATTTTCAAAAGTGTACAAGGCAAATAGTCAACCCATCATCTAACGAGAAAACTGAAAGCTTATATAGAAACAACTTTGTGGGCTACCTTATTCCCTTGCGAGGAATAAAGACTATTCCCTATGTCTAAATATAAAGAAACAATTTCACTTAAAATAATATCATGAGGGATAAATTAAGTTGAAATCCTTCTGGAGGTACTGTACTACCTTGAGTTAATTGGTCTCCACTACACTAGTTTGGAAGTGGCATTCCCTGGAAAAGATTAAAGATCATGCCCTTTCGAACAACAATGGTTTCAGTGGTCTCAACAGGAAACAAGCCTAGCAAACTCTTACACTGCACCGGGATCACCACACCATATTCATCCTATCACAGCTCCGACACCAATTGGTTCTTCTTCCTTGTGTATCACCAAATCAATGTTCAAGTTAAGGAGATCACTACCTGGAGGTACTCATTTGACTGGAGTTCTTGACTGTCTCCCTTCAAGTAGGTGGTATGATTCTGTGTTAGTTCATTTTTCCTATCCATCCACGTTGTCAACTAGCACCCTGCCTCCCTAAATGTGGACGACAATATTTTGTTCTCCCTCAAATCTCCCACATTGCACACCCAATTTGGCTTAGTTAATCTCTCGTGAATAATTTCGAGATTGCAAATAAGGCACCCCGACCTAACATCATTGTCCAACCAGTAACCCTTAATAACTTGCAACCACCCCATCTCCGTTCAAACATTCTTGGCAGCCATACTCATGAATATAGCATGACCCTCTCTCTCCGGTAACTTATACCTCCCACACCTCTCATCCACCATCATTGAATATTGCCCATTTGCCGCATTATGGCAAATTAATTTAGAGAGCCGATATTTCCATCCACCATTATTATATATCCATCCCACCCTATATCTATCCCAGTAAAATTCTTAAAATTTTAAAAAAATAAAGGAGGGAGCCAGGAATTAAAGTTATTGGCGGCAAAAAATTTTAAAAATTTATGTACGAATAAAATTCATATATAACAAAAAAAAATCGTAATATAATATTACCTACCACAGATTCGATGTTTCTACTTTCCACATTATTTACTCTGACACTCCAAAAATTTTGGTTGATAAGGTTCTGCCTTTATATAAACCCGTCTAATCTTATTGCGTTCATTAAATAGATATTCACACATTTACTTTTTTTTTTTCCTGGATCCCATTTAATATAATCAATTTTTTCCAAATTTCCAAATCAAGAATGAAAGATGAAGGCCTAGTTTAAAAACTGGTGGGTGAAAATATTTAGGGTTTATAGATTTGAGAATTTTTTCAATTTGATTTTGAAAAGTTTC